CCCCAAAACCCCAAAACCCCAAAACCCCAAAACCCCAAAACCCCTTCCAATACTATTTTTATTGGAAAACCTCGGTAATAAAATATATTAAAATGGATTCTCCAGGCCAAAATAGTGATGACGACTTCATCGCTTCTATCAATTATCACAAGCAAGATGATCTAGAAGAAAGTAAAGGTGAATTACCAGTGGGTCTTCAGAAGTATAGCACTGATGAGATTAGTGACGACTCAGCAGACTCTGAAACAGGAAGTAATCTCTCTACGATCTCAGATAAATCAGAATATTTCTCTTCCAAAGTTTCATATCAGAGAAGAGCATTGATAAGGAAGAGTATATCTCTGCAGCTTAGACAAATTGGAACAAATGTATGACAATTATTGACTCCAATCATTTCTCTTTTGTTGATAATACTGTTGAAAAGTATTGCGCAGTCTAACATTTCTAAATATATTGATGCTCCTATTTATAGTGGATTGCCATATATTTTCAATATTCCTCTTGTTCCAGTAGGCCAACTTGGGCTTCTCTTCAACTTATCAAACTGTGATCAGTGGTACATGTATGGCTTTCAAGATGACGTAGACCAAGAGACAAGAGACTTCTTTGGATATAACGAAGGTATTCCAATCTTTGATCCAGAGTCTGAAGGAATTCTCGATGGAGACAAAAATGTTCTCCAGACAGCTTGACCAAGTTCTGAAAGAGCTACTCCATATTTCAAAGAAAAGAATGCAAGTGAGACTATTAATCAATATTTATTCAACACCCTAGAACATCTGAACACTCAAAAGATCAATTTTAAGGATAGGGATAGCGAAGTTCCTGATATTTGGATGCTTCCTGACGGCGCGTTTAATGTTTATGAAGCTAGCGATTCCAGACTGAAATATAACGTTCAAGTAAACGACCTCAGATATATTCAATACCATAGAAACAATGGGATCACTAAATTGGGGATACAAAATCCTCTTTCTAATACGACGAGTTATTTCATACGTACTATTGAGGGTCAAATTTCAGCAGTTGATCTAATGAACAAAGCTTATATCTCGAAGCTTTTCCCAAATACCTTTATTTATAGTGGAGTTCAAATAATGCCTCTTTCTCCTTCATTTGACCAAGAGATTATGAGGGTTATAAACTTGCTTGGAGGAGGCTTGTTTCCTCTATCCCTTTGCCTCATGCTGCCTGTGTTCATCTACAATATTGTTCTCGAGAAAGAGCAAAAACTTGTTGAGATAATGAAAATGAATGGGCTCAGAATGCACAACTACTGGATAATCTCATTCATTTTTGATATGGTCCTCTACATCATCACTGTTGTGGTATTTATAATATTTGGTCGATTTATCTTACAATTGACATTCTTTTACGAGACAAGTTATCTGGTTCTATTCTTCTTTTTCTTAGCATGGGGACTCTGCCAGATCTCATTAGCATTTTTCTTCTCCGTATTTCTAAACCAGGCTCAGACAGCATCGATAGTTGGATATTTACTTTCAATCTGGATAACACTTGTAGCAATCTCTTTGAACACTACTCTGTATGCTCCTCCAAAAGAAGTGACGTGGTGGCTTCTTCTATATCCTACTTTCCCATACACAAGATTTTTCTTCATTATATCAACATACTGTGGATACAAGTCCTGCATCACAAGTTTCAGTGAGTTGCCATCGGAAGCTGTCAGATGTCTTTGGATTATGTATGTTGAGGCAGTTGTATTCATGTTATTAGCACTTTATTTCCAACAAGTTGTCCCTCAGACTTATGGTGTCCCAAAGCACCCACTGTTCCTGTGCAAAGCCATGAGATGTAAAAAGGCAGCAAGGAGTACTCAAGAAGAAATTGATATGTTCGATGAATTAGATGATGCTGATAAGAACAGATCGAATGACTCTGAAATATTAGCAAGCGAAGATGATGATTCTAAGAAGGAAAGAAACACAGTTTATAACTTGGATAGAGACAACTATTACAAATACCCATTGATTGTCAAAGATATTAGAAAGGTATATCCAGGATTTGGTGGAAGACCTCCCAAAGTTGCCACAAAGAAATTTTGCCTTAGAATTAAAAAGGGTGAAGTTTTTGGACTCTTGGGTCCTAATGGAGCTGGTAAAACCACTTTAATCTCCATGCTGACAGGACTTTACAGACCAGATTCAGGAAATGCTTGGGTTGCTGGATTTGATATTAAAAATAATTTGGATCAAATTCAGCTTCAAATGGGAGTGTGACCTCAATTCGATATTCTTTGGGCTGACTTGACAGTTCAAGAGCATTTACTATTCTATGCCAGACTCAAAGGGATCTCTCCCAAAGAAGAATCCAGCATGGTTAAAGAAGCCATGCAAGATGTGTTCCTCGAGAAGTTCGCCAAGTTCAAAGTAAACCAGTTGTCTGGAGGAATGAAGAGAAGGCTCTCCGTAGCTATCAGCTTGGTTGGAGATCCCAAGATCGTGTATCTCGATGAGCCTTCGACAGGGCTAGACCCTGAGAACAGGAGGCAGCTGTGGGACATTCTGAGCGATATCAAGGGCAAGAGAGCATTGATGATCACAACTCACTCGATGGAAGAAGCTGATGTTCTGTGTCAACGTATTGGTATTGTTACAGATGGTATGCTCAGGTGTATTGGACCACAAGTGAGGCTCAAGACATTATATGGAGGTGGTTATCATTTATTCATTAACTGCCATAAGTCCAAATATCTAAACATCCTCAAACGTGAAGCTAAAGAAAAACAAAAGAACGAAAACGGTCATGAGACCAGAGAGGAGAGTAAAGATAGAGAAAATCTTAGAAAGTCATTTAGTCCAGACGATGTACACCGTAGGGTAAAAGAATTTGTTTACGAGCTAGCCCCATCTGTATTCTTGTTACAAGAATTTAATGGAAACTTTATCTTCCAAATTCCAATTGAAGGATTTGATGCAGAGAGCTTATTCACACAAATGGAAAGCAACAAAGAAGATTTGATGATATCAGATTGGGGAATTTCTCAATGCTCATTAGAAGATGTTTTCACAAAGATCTGCACTCCGAAAGAAGAGTAGATGAATATTCACTTATAGTCGTAATATTTAAAACATCTATCTTTTTGGTAGTTTAATTTGGAACAAAATAAAATCTATAAAATGGTTAGCTTGGAGATTAAAGTTTGTTATATAATATTGTGTCTAGATTGGAAATATAAGCCATGGTCAATCATGAACTAGACTTTCTATAAATTTCACCCGCCTAATTTCGGTTTCAAAGTAAGTCAAGTTAGGAGGGAGGATTAAATTGGTTCTCTAGAGCATTGATTAATTATTTATAATTTATTATTTCATTATGGCAATGCTCTTCAGGGGTTTTGGGGTTTTGGGGTTTTGGGGTTTTGGGGTTTTGGGG